TATATATATATATATACACATACATACTACTATTTTAAAATAAGTGACGATTAAATAAAAATACAATTATTTTATATACACCTAAAAATGCAATGCTTATATTTACATAGATTTTTTTCCTTTTTAATGTTTGATTTCTTTATATCAATTATCATTTTCAAACCTAAAATCAGCAAGCTTTCATTTTGGCAGGTTGCCAGTTTTACATTTTGCTGTGAAACCGGCAGCACACAGTCTAAGTTTATGCTTTCAGTTTGAAATGAAATCTTGTATAGTATTACAGTTAGTTGATCTAAAACGGTGATTGTGCATTAACAGCTGTTAGCCATGTCGGTATGCCAGTGAGCGGTCTGAACTTATTTCCACAGCGCATTTTTTATTTTGGTCGTGCCACCTGCACACCACTTTATGTGCACCCCTGTAGATTTTAGACCAAATTTCTTTCAAACTTTCAGAAACATAAAAAAAAAAACATTTCATAGGGTATTCAAGTGTACTTTTTCTTGAGCAACCAATGATCAGCCCCACTGGCGGATTCAACTTCCGTTTAACTGTTGCCTTATTACGGTCTACACAGGACCCTATGTTAATATTGGATAAAAACAGCAAATTAATTAGACAAAAACACTTTTGAATACTACTGAGAATAAAAATGAGCTCAGGGTCAAGCTCTGCTGTTGTTGGCTGCCACAGCAACAGCAATAAAGGAAGTTTTGGAAATGGCTTGTTTTGAGCACCAGCAAACCCAAAAAGAATGTCCATGTCCAGTATGCATTGCATTCTGTCAAAGACTGATGAGAGAAAACAAGCATGGCTTGCAGCGCTTAAGTTAAAGGGGTCATATGATATTGCTAAAAATAACATTATTTGGTGTATTTGGTGTAATGCAATGTGTTTATGCTGTTTAAGGTTCAAAAAACACATTATTTTCCACATAATGTACATTATTGTTTCTCCTCTATGCCCCGCCTTTCTGAAACACGTCGATTTTTACGAAGCTCATTGGTCTGAAAAGCGAGGTGTGCTTTGATTGGCCAGCTATC